CTCAGAGAGCAGTTGGGGAAAGGGAGGTTGCACAAATGCCAAGGAAGGGGGCGGGTTCAGCTTTGTCCATTAGTCTTCCCCGTGCAAAGCTCAGTTCAGAGTATAGCCTGGAGGAGAGAGAAGGGTGTGGCCTAAGGGGTCCAAAGAAATGTATTTCTTTGCTTATCGTGGCTGGACCCGGGTTCTAGGAATCTATCCACCTCTTGGCCTGGTCTTATTCTGCGTTGGTTTCGCTTTTAGGCATCCTCTTCCCTTCTATAGCGGCCAACACGCCCACTAGCAGCTCCAGGCCTACGACCAAAAGCTGCAATGGGAGAAGTTTTTCTCCCCAGATAGTCCCAATAAAAGTCCTGGGGCCAGTGCTCGATTGCTTGGCTTGGATAGCAGTCCAGTTGCCACTGGAGTGCCGGTCTCTGAACTTGTCACAGGCTGTGGGCAGGAGAGAGGGTGCTGGTGAGTCACAGCCCCACCTCTGGAGCTGCAGGTGGGGTCAGTTCCACCCAAGCCGGATGGGCTGAGAATGAGGAAGGGGTGGCTTACCACAGGAGGCTCTGGGGAAGGGGAAGCTGGAACTGGGCTGGCTGAAATGCAGCCAGGGTTAGGACCTGGCACCAGACTCCAGCCCGTGGATAGAATTGGTCGCTGTGCCTTGACAATGGCTGAGTGGTCATACAGGTGCTCAGGGCTGCCCCAGGCCTCAAAATTGAGGTCCGGCTTGGTTGTGGGGGGGTGTGGGGGATGGGGGGCAGAGGCTACTGAGATACCCCCCCCCATGTCTTTCTTCCCAAGGTCAAAGCTGGGCCTGAAGAAGTCCCCTCATTAGTATTGGCCAGAGCTGGTCACACTCTCTAACCAGTCTCAGGCTGTGAATAGGATGGCCACAATTTGTTTGGACCAATGAAGATTAACCCTGGAGCTGGAGACAGAGGCTTACCTGCCCTGAGCCTTGGGTACTTGACCCCAGTGGCATAGATGCTGGATGGGTGTCCAGCTGTGTTTGCTACCGTATTGCAGGCACCAGCTGTGGCTCAAACTGGGTAGGATCAATTCCAAGAAGATATTAAAGCTTGCCATGGGATTTTGGGAACGTAGCTACTCTTGGTCCCGGATGATTTCTGGACGAGGTTCCATAATGGAGGTAGAGTTTTGGCCTATTTGTCCTCGAAGGGCGAATAGGAATTTTCCAGATAGGGAAGGAAGTCTAGGGTAGGCCAGACAGAGGGAACTCCATGAGCAGAGGCTTGGCGATATTCAGACGCTTGGGGATGAAGGAGTGTGTGCGGTAAAAAGGCAGAAAATGAGGCCGCAAGTCTGTTCAGGGTCATGAAAGCCATGCTCGCAATCGCCATGGTTACCATTTCTTGTGTACCTACTATGTGCCACACACAACATACATTATCATGAATGGTTGGGAAAACCCCGTAGGTGGAAAGGTATTTGTCTCTCCATTTTAGATGAGGAAACCGAGACCTGGAGAGGTAGCATGACTTGCCCAGGATTCCACAGCTGGAAGGGCGGAGGTGAGATTTGAACCCAGGATTTGAACTCCAGAGTCTGTGCCGTTTTTTCTCCTCGGGATTTTTCTCTCAGAGGTGGTCTCCTGAACACCTGGCCTTTTTGTTTAAAACAAACCAACCTGAGTAGTTCCCCGGAAGCTCTGATTCCTCTTTTGTTTCTTAGTAAAACATTTCCCAACCCTCACTCCTCCCCAGGATATTATGTTCCTTTGGTGAACTGGATCCATCTGTTGCTTCCAGCTTACACATATTTAGAAAGAAAGGAAGAGTGCCCTCCTCTCCCAGCCCTGGTCTCCTCCTGCAGCTCCCATCCCATCCTCGGCTCCACTGGAAAGCTCCAGCTGCCGGCCAGTTTCTCCAGCAACCTGTTGGGGCTTTGCCAACCCCCCACCTCCACCCCTGCTCACTTCACACCAGATCATTTTCCCCAACACGCTTCCAACCCACAAGCAGAAGCAGAGCTGCCAGCAGCCCAGAAGGGGCTGCAGGGGCCTGAGGAGGAGGGAGAGCTGCAAGGGGGTGGGCCCTGCAGGGAGAAGCCCAGGCAGAGGGTTTGAGCCACTCACTTGCTGTCAGAATTGATCTCGAATGCAGATTTTATTTTATTTTTTTAAAGTTTTTTTTTTTTTTAATTAATAAAAGTAATATTTACAGGAAGTAAAAAATTCAAATGGTAGGAAAGGACTTAGAATGGAAACGTGTTTTACGTCTGACTGCAACCTCCAGTTCCTCTTCCAGAGGTGGACCACTGTTCCCATCTCTTGCCGAGAGAGAAGGGAGGCCAGGCTGGAGCGGGCAGAGGGCCTGGAGCGGGCAGAGGGCCTGGAGGCCTGCCTGTCCTTCTAGAGTTTACACCTGTGCAAACAAACATTTGTGTTCATTCATCACCATGTTTGTTTTCCATTGCTACATTACTAATGTCACCACAAACATAGCTTCTTTAAACAGCACACATTTATTGTGCCATAATTTCTAGGGGTCAGGAATCTGGGCATGGCTCTGCTGGTCCCCCGCAGTGATCAAGGAGTCTGCCAGGGCTGTGGTTTCTGAGGTTGCGTTGAAGTTGACCGGGGAAGGATCACTTCCCAGGCCTTGTGATGTTGGCAGCATTCAGTTTCTTGTGGCCTGAGAGCCTCAAGTTCTTGCTGGCCCTTGGCAGGAGGCCGCCCTCCGTTCCTTCCCTCGTGGCTTTCTCAAAGCCAGAAAGGGAGAATGAGTGGGTGTCTTAGCCAGTTGGGGTTACAGTCTTACATGATATAATCACATGTGTAGTTCCTACATACCCATCACTTTTGCTGCATTCTGTCAGTTAGAAACAAGTCACAGGTCTTGCCCACACTTCAGAAAAGGGAATCACATAGGGGTATGACATAATGTGGGGGTCCTGGGGCCTCTCAGAGTCGGTCTGCCACCATCACTATGCCTTCCCTCCACCTCCATTTTTTAACACAAAAGGCAGCAGACAGCACATACCAATCATCATCTTACCTTTTCCACTTAGCAGCAGATTCTAGAAGTCCCCTCTCAGTGGGCGCTAGGCTGGGTGGGCTGAGATTCGAGGCTAATAAGTTTGGGCTTGACTGTGGAGGCTCTGGAGAGCGCTTGAAGGAGAGAGAAGGACACAGTGACTATGCTTCAGAAAGATTACTCTCGTGTTCCCTGCACGCCAGGCCCTATCCTAAGTGCTTACCTGTACTAACCCGTTTAATCCTCACAGCAACCCTAAGAGGGAGTTTATCATTGCCATTTTGCAGAAGAGGACATCAAGGTCCAGAGAACTTATGTTATTTACCTAAGGTCACACAGCCAAAAGGGAACCCTTACACTCAATTTATAGATGAAGAAAGCAAAACTCAGAGAGGTTTACCGTCGCCTCGGTAATGTCAACTGGCTAACCAGTTGGGGGTTAGGAGGGTAGGGTGAGGGCCAGCCAGTTCCCTGACCCATCTCACTTGACTCTGGTCACAGTTATGGAGGTGGTAAAGAAAGGCTTGAATTGGAGAAATAACCAAATACCCAGGATGGTGACTCTTAAACACTGTGAGGTCAGCTAAGGACGGCAGCCAAAGTGGCAGCCGGCAGTGCCCTGACCCCCAGCTGGTGCACTAACATCTTCTTTTCTTCCATCAGTTCATAATCTTTAATGTGACCTACGTGGAACCCACCCTTCGCTTCTCAGCCAGGACCCTAAAGTCTGGGGTCTTCTACAGTGCACGGGTGAGGGCCTTGGCTCAGAGCTACAATAGCACTTGGAGCGAGTGGAGCCAGAGCATCAGGTGGTTTAACTGTGAGTATCTATCATGAGTCCTGAGCACTTAGAATGTCTGCTTCCCACTTTTATTCCATAGCCAGATACCTCCCCTGGGTGAGCATCTGGGTTTCCGTTTCATAGGATGCCTCTAACTGCAGGTAGCAGAGTACAAACTGACATGGTATATTGCCAGGGTAGGGAGGCTGGGCTGCAGTAACAGATAAGCCCACGAGGTCTGTGGTTTAACACTGTAAAAATGTATTTCTTCCTTGTGTAAAAGTCCAATATGAACTTTGCTGGTTATGGATGGTTTTCCTCTCTTTCATCATTCTCTAGGACAAAGATTATTAACCTTTTTGTATTGTGGATCCCTTTGGCAGTCCGGTGAAATCTGTGGACCCCATTTCAGAATATTTCCGTTTTATTTATTTATTTATTTATTTATTTATTTATTTATTTATTTATTTTTTTTTTTAAATTTTCTTTTTTTAAAAAAAATTGTATTTATTATTAGTTTCAAGTATATAGCACATTGGTTAGACATTTATAGAGTTTACAAAACGATCCCCCTAATTGCTCTTTCTCTCCTCTGGCTCTCCACCTCGCCATTACATTAATGCTGACTGCGTTCCCTATGCCATGCTCCCCATCCCTGTGACCATCTATCAACTACTAATTTGTACTTCTTTAACCCTTCACTCCATTCTCCCAGCCCCCTAACCCCCCTCCCCTCTGTCTGTCACCAGATTGTCCTCTATGTTTGTGAGTCTATTAGTTTGTGTTTTTCGTTCCTTAGATTTTGTGTTAGTTTGTGTTTTTTGTTCCTTAGATTCCACATGTAAGTGAAATCATATGGTATTTATCTTTCTCTGACTTATTTCACTCAGCATAATAACCTCTAGGTCTATCTATGTCATTGCAAATGGTAGGATTTCATTTTTCTTTTTAGTGGCTGAGTAATATTCAGAGTATTTTTAAATGTGTAAAATAGAATACATAGGAGTACAGGGGAAGCTAATTTTATTGAAATGCAATTATAAAGATATTTTTAAATACACTTGCCTAGGAATATATGCTTTTTTATTAACACACTGAAAACAAGATGCGGTTATCATAAATACTATAATTTCAAAGTAGATGAGGATACATGATGTTTCCTGACATGGCAGCTGTAATGTGATACGAGAATAGCTGTGATTCCCATTGGGAACGGAGTGACTGATGCTGCTGTTATTGTGGTCTGCTCCCTCCACTCCTGACGGGAGGAAATGCTAGGTGTCAGAAGTTAGTGAAGATAGAGATGCCATTTCTTTCCCATTCAAGCTTCCAGACCCCTGTATTCTATCTGCAACCTTGTGGGAGGTCTGTGGACCTAGAGTTAAGAATCTCTAAGGGCTTTGCCATTGTCTGCATCCAGCCAGCAGGAGGGGAATGAGAGCTGGGAGACCACACCTTCTTCTTAAAAGCCTTAGCCCGGAAGTGACACATGACTTCCTCTCAAGTTCTATCGGTGAGACTGGTCGTATGGCCAGGGATTCCGGGAAATGTAGTCCTTCACTTGGTAGCTGCATCCCCAAAACAACTCTTCGCAACTTTATCACACATGGTTTTTGCAATAAAAATACTGGGTTATGTCACATGAAATGAAGTCTTACAAGTAGACTTTATTATACAGAAGCTCATTATATAGAAGCTCAGTGATGCTACCCCATAGGTTTGTCTTCTTTCCCTTTGCTTGGTGCTTGGCGGTGTTTTATCCTTAGACTTGTCACCTCATGGCCCCAAGTTGGCTGCTGCATGTGTCCTCAGACTCCAAGGACCAAAGGGAATGAAAGGCCACCACCAGGGAATGCACCTTGTGCATCTCTCTCTTTTATCAGGAAGCAAAAAATTTTTCCAGAAACTTCCCTAGAAGACTTCCTTTGCATCTCATTGGCCAGGACTGTCAGATGGCCTCTTCGAACTGCAATGGAAGCTGGGAACTCAAATGTCTGGGAAGGAGACTAGAACAATCATGATTGGCCGAAATATCAGGGTGGGCACATTGGTACCTGGCAAAGAAGAAAGGGGCATAGGGTAGGGGAGGCTGCCTCAGGCATCGTCTAGAGTAGGGAGGAGTAGGAGCTGTTGTGAACATTCAGTGAAAGAAAGATTCTTCAAAGTGCTGGGCACAGTGGTGATTGGCAGGTACCTGACCCCGCCCACCATGCATCCTTCTCAGCGTTGCTCACCTTGCTCCATGGATGTCTCTTTGCCCATCTGTCTCCCACACTGGGCCACGAGCTCTGTAGGTCGTATCTACTCTTTGTCTCCAGTGTCTAGAACAGGGCCAGGCACACAATAAGTCCTTGGGAAAGTTTTGTCAAATTGATTTGATTCTAACACTGACCTGGGGAAGGGAAGGGAAAGGAAGAGAAATAGCTTGTATGGAACATATACAATATGTGGACGCTCATTCATTTTTTCCACAATTTTTTTTTGAGCTTCTACTCTGTGCCTGGCTCTGTCCTAGACACTGCGGTATCAGCAATGAGCAAAACAGACAAAAATCCCTGCACTTATAGAACTGGCATTCTGGAGGAGGGAGACAGAAGATAAACAAGTAAATAAAAGTAAATCAGATAGATTTAGATCCAGATGGCAATAAGTCTGGGTAGAAAATAAAGTAGAATAAGGTGATGGAGTGATGGAAGGAGCAACGGTAGAGAGGGTGCTGGGGAAAATACTTATTGTTGAATGAGACCTTGCAGGCTGACAGACGAGAGGTGACCCAGGCCCCACTCCTCACCCTCTCTGTGCCTCTGTTTTCTCATCTGTACAATGATGATACAATATCTGTTTTCTCATCATCTGTTTTCTCAATGATGAGAAAACAGAGGCACAGAAAGGGTGAGGAGTGGGGCCTGGGTCACCAGCAAGGATTTGACAGAGTCAGGCTTCGAACTCAGGTAGTCCAGGTCCAGAGTCACTGCCCTTGACCTCTATGCTTCAGGAAAAAGAAAGCAGCAAGTCTAAGGTCCTGAGGTGGCACTGAGCTTTGGAGGAGCAGGAGATGGTGAGGAGGCCAGAGTGGCAAGGCCTCCGTGTGTAAGGGGGAGGATAAGGGGGAGGAGGTGGGAGGGCTTGGTGGTGGCCAAGTCATGTAGGGCCTGGGAGGACACTTTCTTGAAGCCTGAGTCTCCAGCTCTGGGCAGCGGAGACCAGACTGTACCCACCATGATGAAGGCTCATGGCTTCCCTCCTACTTCCAGACTATGATTGGCCCTGGGAGCAGCACCTCCCGCTTGCCGTCAGCATCTCCTGCATTCTCATCCTGGTCATCCTTCTGTCCTGTTATTTCAGCATCATCAGGTGAGTCCTGAACCAGTCCATCTGGGGTATGAAGTAGGTGGGACTCTCCCCTCTCATCTGTCAGCCTGCAAGGTCTCGTTCAACAATAAGTATTTATTGAGCAGCTACTACGTGCAAGGCATTGAGGCAACAGCCGAAATAAGACCAAGGACCCTGTGCTCCTTGTGGGGAGACAGATGTCAGGTCAACAGATAACCACACTATTTTCCACAGTGATTGATGCACTGAAGGGAATATACCAGGGTGAAAGGGAGAAATGTCCCAGGGTGCTGTTTTAGGTGGGGAGGCTCAGGCAGGCCCCTCTGAGGAGGTGATATTTGAGCTGGGACCTGACCGGGGGAAATGAGCTGGCCAGGGTAGAGCTGGGGGAAAGGCCTTCCTTTGGCAAAGGGAGATGGATCATGCCCAGGGTATGGTCCAGACACTTGGGGGCATGTGGCAATAGACAGAGGCATTTTAGACGATTGCCTTACAGAGTTAGGGCACCTGGGTTTGGATCCTGGCCCGGGCTCTTGGTAGCTACGTGACTGTCAGCCTCGGGTCTCTCCTGTGCGGGTTGGGATATGGTGAGTACATATTGTATCAGTCCTGAAAGTCCTAAGAGAGCCCAGTGGGTTGGGGTGGGGAGGAGTAGAAGCGGCCTGATTTGCAGTGAGTTCGAGACTTAGGAATCATGGTGCCTCAGAGCCTCAGTCCTCCCATGTCTGAAGTGGGACTGGCGAGCCCTCCCTCATCATGTAAGTATTAGTAGGGGCTAAGGATTGACATGAATGAGTGTCTTGCACTTTGCTGGGCACACATTACGTGTGCGGGGAATGCAAGTTTACCTCTCCACATCTTGTCACTGGTGCCTCTGAGCCACCCTGGGCTGGTCTTTTTCCCTTCTCTGAACCTCAGTTTCCCCATCGCCTGTCCTTCCCAGATCTGCTCACTGTGTTCCAGCACCCCAGCCTCCTTGCTGTTCGCTGAACACACCAAATAAGTTCTCTCCGAACCTCTGCACTCGCCGTGTCCCCTACCTGGAGAGCCCATTCCCTGGGCATCGCCACGACTCACTCTTCTTTCACCTTCAATTGCCACTCAGCAGTCACCTCCTCAGGGAGGCCTTCCTGGATCACATTCTCCTTTCCTTTCTATTCTCTTTTCTTCTTTATTTTTATTCATGGCACTTATTGCCGTGAATTTTAATGATGTCGTATAATCATTTCTATGTCTGTCTTCCTCTTCTAGAAGGTCAGTTCTGCAAGGGTGGGGCTTTTGTCTGTCTTGTTCACTGTTGTGTCCCTGAGGCCTGGCACAGTGAGTGGTACATAGTAGCTGCTCAATAAAGACATGTCGACTGACCGAGTGGAGTAGGCAGAGGCTAATCTGGGGTGATCTGAGGACCCTCCCGCTCAGAGCTGACACTCCATGGCTCCAGGTTGACCCAGGAAGAGAGAAGGAATCTCTTTCTTCCCTCGGCTTCTCGGGCCATCCCAGGCCTCTCCCTGGCACCTTGCTCTCAGCTGCTCCATGGAGGGGGTTGTCAGTGGGAAACCCCATCATTCTCTCTCTGCAGCTTGAATCTCTCCTCCTTCCCTGGGGCTTATTCCCACTGAGAACAGTGATGGCGAGCCAGGAACTCTATCCTGGTAGCAGAAGGCTAGCGTGTGAACCTGGCTCTTCTGCTTCCAGCTGTTACTTTACCTCTGGGCCTCAGTCTGCTCATCTGTGAATGGGCTGGCAGCAGAACCTGTTCCACGGGGTTTGGGTGAGACAGCCAAAACCAGTCAACATGGGCTCTGACTCCTAATAGGTATTGGCGACTAGGATCATTTTCATGGGAGGAGCATCAACCTGTTAATGATTCAGAGAGCAACACCTTTTCTTTTTTCTTTTTCAGGATTAAGAAACAGTGGTGGGACCAAATTCCCAACCCAGCCCACAGCCCCGTCATGGCTATTGTCATCCAGGAGTCTCAGGTAGGAGAGTGGGTTGGTTTGGATGCTTTGGACTACGTGTATCAGGAAATAGAATTCAAGATGTCTGGGATGTTAAGGACATTCATTGGCTTTTGGAATTGTACATGAGAAGTCAGGGAGGTTTCGGGATAGTTTGATTCAGCCGCTCAAAGTGTCATTCGGAGCCCAGAGGCTACCCCTCCCCTCTGCTTTCATAGCTACTCTTTTAGCCTGAGGTAGGTTCTTCTTGGGTTGGTCTCTCTGTTTTTTCCCTCCCTTGGGAGGAGGTGACCTCTGAGGTCATCTGCACGTCATCTCCTGAGGAAGTACCAGGCAGGGCAAGAGGCCAAAAGGAGAGGGAGAGGGGGACATGCTTTTAGTATTTCCCTCTTATGAGCATGAAGCTGCCCCCAAAGCAACCAGCATATCTCTTCTCAGTTCTCGCACGCTCTGTTCACCTGTAAGGAGTGGGAAAACTGTGAGACAACCACGTGGCCACCCCGAGCTGGGGTGAGGCCAGCTTCCCCAGTGTGATGGCCATGTGGGTTTTGCCTGAGCAATATCCGAGTTCTCTCGGAAGGAGGGAGTAAGGGATACAGGTCCTGTCCAGAACAGGTCCTGTCCCAGTGTCCTCAGTTTTCCAGAGACCCTGTGGCAGGCTCTGCAGTCCAGTGGTGCTGAATCTGAGCCCTGACCCTGCCGCTGACCTGCAGAGTGGACTTGAGCAAGTGGCTTAACTTCTCTGAGCCTCAGTTTCCTCATGTGGGTTTTAGCAGTGTTTACCTAACAGCTAACATTATATGAGCCAATACACATAAAGGGTACATTATAGGGTCTGGAAGTAGTAAGTGTCATTTATAGGTCAGTTAGCTTTTGCTAGGTAATGAATCATCCCAAAACTTAGTCGAAACAACAGCCATTTCTTTAGCTCCTGCTTCTGCAGGTCTGCAGTTTGAACTTCGCTCAGCAGTGGGGGTGGAAAGATCTTGGGCTGGACTGGGCAGATCTTCTCTGAGCTGGCTTGTCCCCAGTGGCCTCACTCACAGGTCTGGCAGTTGGCTGACTGTCACCTGGGGCAATGGAGGTAACTAAGCCACGCGTCTCTCATCCTCCAGCAGGCTGACCCCGTTGACGCAGTGTCACTTCCACCACATTCTGTTGGCCAAAGCAAGTCACATGGCCAGGCCAGATTCAAGGGATGAGAGGAGCTGCAGAGTGCTGTGGTCATTTTTGCCATGAGCCAGAGCGACTTATTTTATTTTATTTTTATTTATTATTATTTACACCTACAGCACCTGGTCTTCCTAGGTGGTCTCCCATCCAAGTACTAACCAGGCCTGACCCTGCTTAGCTTCCAAGATCAGACATTGGGCTTGCTCAGGGTGGCATGGCTGTAGACCCAGAGCGACTTAATGTTAGGGGAGTCTCAGTAATTCCCAGGAAACTGTGGCTCAGAGAGCTAAATGGACCGGATCCGACCTCAGACCTGAGCGACATCAAAGCTTACGGTTTCCTGCAGCAGATGCTTAGTGAGCGTTGCCGTGTGCCGGGCTGGGCTGGAAAGTCTCTCTGCTCTGTCTCAGTGGCCTTCTCTGTGTTTCAGGTGTCACTGTGGGGGAAGCCATCCCGAGGGCAGGAACCAGCCAAGTGCCCGTATGTATATGAACTTAGATCACAGCCTATGTGGATGTGGAAGGGGGTGGAGTTGGCGAGGTGGGCCCCATCGCGAGAGTGTCTTCCTTCTCTCCCGTGGCGTTTAGCACGTTTCCCGTGACGTTGGGCTTCAGGGCTGGGAGAGGAGGAGTGGTCTGGGTAGATGGGGTGCTGACTGAGCCCCCTGAGTTTCACTGGGAGTGAAACAGGCCCACGCTGAACCCTCCTAGGAGCGAACAGGCTGGTCTGAGCAAGGCTGGTAGAGGTGACAACCAGGGCAGTGGTTCCAGTTGTTAAAATGCCGACATAACTGCATACTGGTTGGTGAATACCACTGTTCTAAACCCTTGAGTATGCCACCATCACACGGGCCTTCTTAGCTTCTCCCACAGGGCCTCCTGGGCCTCCCCACAATCCAGTTTATACTTGGCACAGCAGGGGGCTCCAGGACACTACTGGAGCCCTCGGCCATTCTAATTGGTAATTACTTATGCTATGTTTTGATCAGTATTTTAAATACCATCATTTTGGACAAAGACTTTTCCTTACTCAATTGACTGAGTTTGTATTAGGCACCAGGTTACGTGCTGAGCTCCAGAAATCTCAAAGTAAGACACAGACTCTGTCTTCAAGGAGATCCCAGGCCAGTAGTGGGTAGATTGATAGATTATTGATTATAAAGGTAGGAAGCATGTTGGCAATCGGTAGAGCAGGGTGACTTCAAGCTGGGCTTTGAAGGATGAATAGGAGTTTTTCAAGTGGAGAAACTGAACCCTGACCAAACTTTGCATTGATTTTGCAGACACTGGAAGACTTGTCTTACTAAGCTCTTGCCCTGTTTTTTGGAGCATGGCATAGAAAAGGATGACAGTTCCTCCAAGGCTGCCAGAAACGGGCCTCTCCAGGGTCCCGGGAAATCAGCATGGCCCCCTGTGGAGGTCAGCAAGACTGTCCTCTGGCCAGAATGCCCCAGCGTGGTGAAGTGTGTGGAGCTGTTTGAGGCCCAGGTGGAGAGTGAGGAGGAGGAAGAAATGGAGGAAGATAAAGGGGGCTTTTGCCCGTCACCTGAGAGCAGTGGGTGCAGCTTCCAAGAGGGCAGGGAGGACATTGCGGCCCGGCTGACAGAGAGTCTGTTCCTGGACCTTCTTGGGGGTGAGAATGGGGGGTTTTGCCCACAGGGCTTGGGAGAGTCCTGCCTTCTTCCACCTTCAGAAAGCAGAAGCGCTCAGATGCCCCGGGCAGAGTTCCCAAGTGCAGGGTCCCAGGAGACTTTGTTCCAGGACCAGGAGCAGCCTTTTAACCCAGAGTCAAACCCTCCAGCTGCTCTGATGCAGAGCCCTGACCGCCTGGCTTTCACAGAGATGCCCGCTGTTATCGCAGACAACCCCGCTTACCGCAGCTTCAGCAACTTCCTGAGCCAGTCCTCAGGTTCCGGAGAGCTTGACTCAGACCTACTGCTGGTGGAATGCCTGGAGGAAGGGGACCCCAACATCCCCTGTACCCACCAGCTCTCTGAGCCACCCACTGTGCTCCAGCCCAAGCCAGAAACCTGGGAGCAGGTCCTCCGCCAGAGCGTCCTCCAGCACAGGGCAGCTGCAGCCCCCGCCTTGGCCCCAACCAGTGGCTATCGGGAGTTTGCGCACGCAGTGAAGCAGGGCAGTGCCCAGAGCACAGGGGTGGCAGGCTTCAGCCCTTCTGGAGAAGCTGGGTACAAGGCCTTCTCCAGCCTACTTGCCAGCAGTGCCATCTCCTCGGAGACATCTGGGGTTGAGGCCAGCCGTGGGGAGGGGGGCTACCGGCCCTTCCAGAGCCTCTCTTCTGATTGCCCTGAGGCCCCTGCCCCTGTCCCTTTGTTCACCTTTGGACTGGACATGGAGCTACCTCATAGTCCTCAGAACTCAGTTCTCCCAAGCAGCTCCCCAGAGTGCCTCATTCTGGAGCCAGTGGCAAAGGGAGAGGACAGCCAGAAGCCTCCGCTCTCCCTAGAGCAAGCCACAGACCCCCTCAGGGATGATCCGGGCAGTGGCATTGTCTACTCAGCGCTTACCTGCCACCTATGTGGCCACCTGAAGCAGTGTCACGGCCAGGAGGAGCGTGGCAAGGCCCATGTTGTGGCCAGCCCCTGCTGTGGCTGCTGTTGTGGAGATAGGTCCTCACCCCCGCTGAGCCCCCTGAGGAACTCGAACCCTTTGCCAGATGGGGTTCCACCGGAGGCCAGCCTCATTTCAGCCTCCCTGGCACCCATGGGTAGCTCAGAGGAGGGTAAGCTCTCCCTGTTCTTCCAGCCTGCCCACAGCAATGCTCAGAACTCAAGCCAGACCCCCAAAGTGCTGGCCATGCTCTCTACAGGGCCCATATGTATGAGCGCTTCCTAGGTATGGGCCCACTTGTTGCTGAGGTCTGCAGGTGAGGACTGAGTCTCACCCATGCCTGCCATATGCCACCCCCTGGAAGGCAACCAGGCTGGCACATTTAGAAAAGACTTGGAGAACCGTGGTATGAAGTTATGATGTTCTCTACACTGGGGCTACAGAGACTGGACCCCCCCGTTCCCAACATTGACCTGGGCTCAGCACATCCCATTGGAGTGGAGTGTGCTGGGCAGCTTGGCTTGTGAATGAGCCATTGGCCATTTTATCAGTCCACAGCTTCTCCAGCATACTGTCCCTGTCATGCCCACCCAAGGCACGTTTTGTGCACGTAGTCACCCTGTTGCCTATGTCTTGCCCAGTCCTTGGATTAGTTGCTGCCATGTCACTGGATTAGACACTGAGCCTAGAAACCAACCAAGCCAACGGGAATGCCTTGGGAGGCCTTGGGAAACTGAGGTCCTAAAAGAGTGGTTATTTGCCCAGAAGTGCCCATTGATTCAACAGAGCTTCATTATGTTGACACTGGAGACAGGATCTGGGCTGTGGAGGGATGCTTAATAAGCGAGTGAGGATAATAGAGAAGCACATGAAAAATTGTGGTTACTAAGCAGTGACAATTTGCTGTCAGGTTCCTACACCACTGTAAGGCTGGGGGCTCCCGTTAAGCAGGAGATCCCCAGAAAAAGCACATCCAGCTACCTTGGGTCCTGTCTGTGCCCCCATGGACACTACTGCTGGCAGCCACAGAGAGACCAGAGCGAGAGGTTCACGCCTGTGACCCGGCTGAGCTGGGCATTCCAGACGCCGATGCCGGACGCATTTAGCCTGCATGTTGGCCCAGACCTCAGGCTCAGCAATGCTTGTTTGTGTGCATGTCAAAGATTGTTTTAAACCTGGTATTCGTGTTTGCTGAGGAGGGTGGAATGGGAGGGGGTGGAGTTTTATATAAATAAAGATTCTTTATATATATATTTTTTCTCACTTATTAAACAAACATACTGCCAGGCACTGTTGTGTTTTATCTCAGCTCTTTGAATCCTCCCATCCAGAGGAACCGAGGCCCAAGGCTGAGTAACTTGCTGTCTCTGTTTGGATTCCCCCAAGACAGGATTCAAGTGCAATTAGTTGGTTTAGCAGGTGATTCCGGGAAACCCTGTCTGAGAAAGGGCACAGTGAGGCAGGGAAGGGCAGGAGGCAATAAAGGGTGTTATCGGTGTCAGAATGGGCAGCTGCCACTTCACCCACTGGGGAGCTTTGCAATGCCGTGCATTACATATGCCAGAGGTGTCCCTGCAAAGGTGAGGAGGTGGGTTGTTCGTCCACCAACCCTCATCTGTTATTGGGGGAGGGCGGCTTCCAGGGGCATGCAGCAGCTGCTACTCTTTGCCAAGGTCACACAGCTAGTTAGTGGCAGGCCTGTAGCTGAACCCAGGCAGTGACCCTGACACCCAGGCTCACTGTCGGTGGTCTGTCTCAACATCCAGGCACACAGTGTGATGGAGTGAGCCTCTGTTGGGCAGGCAGGGGATCTTGAGCTCGTAGGTCTGTGTTCACTCTATGTCTTCAAATAGATGTCCCATCACACTTGCAAAATGAGGGGCTTGGCTGTTTGAAGTTCTTTCCTGCTCTGTCATTCTACACAATACACAATGTTGAAGAGCCCATGACCTCACATGCAGTTTGCTGTTTGTTAGAAGTGCCTCCTTTGGGCTGAGCACAAATCTATCCCTTTAGCTGCCTGAATCACCACCTCCCCCCGCCCCACACACAATTTACTGATGGGGAGGCAAGGGGCTTGTCAAGGTCAACAGTGAAAGGCAAAGCCTGAACTAGTCCTCTGAACTTTGTGCCTCCCAAGAGCTTTTATAAGAAAATACAATAATTTAAAAAATATAACTAGGGCCAAGCAATATGTTAAGTGCTGTCTATGTCAGCTCTAGTAGGCAGGTTCAATTATTATTCTGATTTTACAGATGAGGAAGCAGGCCCAGAGAGGTTGAGGTTTAGCTTAGGGCTACATAGCCAGGAAGTCCTGGAGTCAGGATTTGAACCCAGGTCCGACCACAGAGCTCCCAGCCATCATGGAATGCACAGTATGGCACCTACTTGAATATTAGTTTTAATCCTCTTTGCCTGAGCATTGTCAGAAAAAATCATATTTAGAAATTAAGCAGCAAACAGAGAAAATACATTTTTGTGAGTGGTGGAGAGGCAGTTGGGTTGGAAGTCCAACTGAATTGAGGCCTGAGTCATTGTTGTCTCCCTAGGATCTTATTTATGAGTTGACCCGAGTTGACAGCTGAGGCTCATATTAAAGAATTGGCTGGGCTTGGGGAAACTGGAATGAAGAACTAGACAGAGACACCTCCCACTAGCCTCCCAGGCTCAGGGAAGCTGGACAAAGCCACTGTTCTTGCTTTCCCAACCCCCTTCTTCAGCTTAACACAAAGAAGAAAGAAACAGAAAAACAGCTGGAAAGCCACATACCCCACTGATATTTACCGAGCACCTACTATGCCAGGCACTGTGAGGGGTGCTGAGGAAACAGATGAGGTCCCTTCCTGGATCTTTTAGTTCAGTGGGGGAGACAGACATTAAACAGATAAAAGGAAAAATTGCAAACGCTGATGGGTACCACAAAGAAAATAGGGGTGTGAGACACGGGGAGCTAATGGGAGTAAAGACTTCCCTTAAAGACGGGAGGTGACTTGAGTCCTCAGTGACTGGAAGAAGCCAGGAGAGACTGTGGGAAGAGCATTTTGGGCAGAGGGTAGAGCAAGTCCAAAGGCTCCGAGGCACAAGGAGTTTGGCATGTTCGCAGTACAGGAAGATCAGCTATAGCGCAGTGAGCCAGGGACAGTAATGGGAGGTGAGGGCAGGAATAATGGGGGCTGGAGCGAGGAATTTAAATTTTGGGTTAAATACACATTAGCCCCATCCACTGAGAAACATGGTCCAACAGATACCAGTTTCTCTTCCATCTCCCTAATCCTCAAACGTAACCTACCTATAAGCGGGAGCCAATGAGAGGAAAGGGAACCACTGGAAGTGTTCCTCCGGTAGGACTCCCTCTCACATCACACACTGGAAAACGAAGGTTCCTCCTGACACCAGCGACTGGAGTGGTTAAAGTCCTCATTGCTGATATTCTCACCCAGGAGCGAAGTCTCTCCCATCAAGAATGAGTTGATTTGCAGGGAGGAATGGCTGGTTGCCAGGGCCTTTCTTGAAATTTTTTCAAAGAGACTTTTAAAAATCCCCTTAAAATCTGGTCCTTGGTCTCCCAGACACTGGTGTCCAAATTAGGCCTGGAACCCCAAGGGTCTTTGGGGCGTGAAGCCCTAGACCCCTTCTCTGCTATGTCTCCTTGATCCTGTCTGTGCCTTTATTTTCTCATTTGTGAAATAGGAAGCATAATAAGATCTGGATTGTGGGGTTGTCCTGAAGATAGTCTCCAGTATCATGCTCATCAGCTCCTGGGTTTACTCTAACCTGGCTAAGGCACGGAAGACAAGAGTGAAAACTTACAAACAACTTAGACATCTAGACTCCTTAGCTCTAGCGACTGCTCTGGGCTTCCTCTACACCTGCCTGTAAGACTCCCATGGCTTCTGCTGCCCTTCATTAATCCTGACATGGGACCCCTTGCCAGCCTGGGCCCTCCCTGGCCCCTGTACCCTCTGGCTAGTGCCTACTCCTTTCTCAGTCAGGACTTTCCCACACTAACCAGGCCTGGCGATTCCCTCCGTTCAAATACGGAGTAATTACCCCGGAGAGACAATTGTTAAAAGTAAAATTCTCAAATTATGAGCACAGATCAAAAATTTTAGATTTGCAGGAAGGGAGTCATCCCTAAAGAGAAAGAACATCGGTTCAAAGAACAATCTAAGGAAGGGCTTTTATAGCAAGACAAACGTCTAGGACATGCTGTCCAACAGAACATTTTACTATGATGGAAACATCACGCTGTCCACAGTGGCCCCTAGCTGCCTGTGACTATTAAGCACTTGAAATGTGGCTAGTATGATTGAAGAAGTGACTTTTAAATTGTATTAATTAATCTTTAATTTTAAATAGCCACATGTGGCTGGTGATTACAGTATTGGACAGAGCACATCTAGTAGATCATCTTAGTCCATCGTACAACTTAATTGCCTCAGCGTGGAGGTGACAGGGAAAGATCTAGAACGATGAAGGAAGAGAGAAGAGGAACAACAGCACCGCACTAAATGGTTGCCCCAAGAGCCATGAGGGGCGGGGTCTAGTGCCTCAGGTGGGCCCGACTCAGGCCCAAACCCCGCGGGAGCTCTAAGTGGGCGCGGGGGGTGTGGGCAGAGCCAGACGCAAGCTGCGGACTTTCCCAGCGCGCCCGCGGAGGCTGGACCTGAGGTGCAGGTGCCGCCAGCGCCGAGGGGGGCGGGGCGTGGCCCTGGGCCTCTCAAGAAGGCCTTAGCAGACCCCCCAGGAGACCTCCAGAGTCATTGATTTCAGTGTCCCCCTGTCCCAACCCCGCGCACCCCCAACTTCGGTTTTACAAAGGTTTGTCTTGGGGGAGGGCGTTGGTGGGTGGGGGAGCGTCTGCTTTAGTTCTTTGTTTTTAAACAAAATCCCTACTTACTGCTTTTTTCCCTGATTACTAAATCGGCACGTGCCAGCCATTTCTGATTCAGAGAAAACCTAAAGGTATAAATAGGAAAGTGAAAACCACCGGAAATCCCATCCCCCGCCCCAGCACCTGGCACCATGTGGGCGGTCACAAATGAATGTTTGTTTCCGAAGATGTATCTGTCTCCATTAACATCCTGTTGAATAAACCTTTCTGATATTATTTTCCTACGAAAGTTATTAATTAAAAAAACAACAACAACCAAAAAACAAAAACCCAGCAAGAGGTTTTTGAGCCCCTACTGCAGGGAAGCGTGACCTCACTGGCTTCTCGCAGCAGCCTGGAGACCTGGAGACCACTGTGTGGGACGGACGTTCCTATGATGCACCCTGACCCCAACCACTCCTCCGTATTCCTACACCCCTTTTACAGGTGAGAGCACTGAGACTCAGCGAAGCGAGGGCTCTGCCCTCCTCCTGCTTCTGTTTGCACTTGCCTTTGCCAGTGGAGCTGTGTGACCTCAGGCAAGGTACTTGACCACTCTGGGTCTCAGTTTCCTCCCTGATCAAAAACGGGTAAGAGAGGTAGGTACCCTGCAGCCCACAGCGGTGGGGTGAGGAGCAGATGTCATGATGGGTGAAGCCAGTGGTGCCAGCCGCTTGTATAATTAATTTGCTTAAGACACCTGACAATAGCAGGACAGTGCCAGTTCTTCCTCAAAATCTCACCCTTTTCCATGATGTCTATTGACAAGCTGGCCAGTGGAGAGGTGGACAGTATCAGATTGGCTGGAGGCCAGCTCCTTGGTCCCTACTGCCCCCTAGTGGCCCACTCCTTCCCAGCACCGGAGGAGGAGAGTAAGAGGAGAGACAGAGATGTGGAAACAACCAAACTTCTGATCCCAGCTCCAGGTTGACACTGACTCCAATCACAGAATGACCTCTGACTCAAGCTGTAGGCTGATTCGCGACCCACGCTGTGGACCTACTTGTGCTCTTGGCTGCAGATTGACCCAGGCACATGCTGACCCCTAGCCCTGGCCACAGACTAATTTTTGACCCCAGCCACAGACTGATCTCTGATTGTGGCCACCCAGATCCCTCCCTCCTATATTGACACCTCACCTCATCCGGGAACTGGCATTTCCTGGTTTCCTGCTGGTAAATTCAGCTCGAGTTGGTCAACGTATCTGGTGTGTCTGTTCTTCCTCTCTGCCATGGAACCTCAGGGCAAGCTGACAGTTCTCCTTTCTAACCAGAGAGAGCAGCATAAGGAGAAGCCCTTTTGCCACCTTCCTTCTTTTTTGGTGGTTTGGCAACCATCTTGTGATCATGAGGGAACAAGCCTGTAGCTGAGAGACAGT